TTCTAGATCGATTAAAGTAAGTCTATAATAAAGTCTATTAATAATTCGGTAAAAGGCCGGAAGGGAATTAATAGTAATTCGAGCTTACCGAAAAAGCGATATCTTAATATTTAGGCGGTTTAATATACTATATAAGATTTTATATATTTTTTTATATCTTCTTATAAGTTAATCTAATAGAAATCTCTTCTAAGAAGTTCCTCGGTCTTTACTCTCTTAAAATAGCCTATAGTAGGGTTATTATAATATATTATTATTAATTTTTAATAAATATCCTTCTTTTTTAGTATATATAGATATTCTTAGTATCTAAGGTAATCTAAGGCGTTAATTAACTAGTCTTTACTATTAGGTTTCTAGGCCGATATATTATCTTTCTAGTAGATTATTTTTAGATTATCTAACTAGAGTTTTCTTATTTATTTAAGAGTATTTATAATAGTAGCTATACTTATAAACTAGATTATTATAGTATTCTTTAGATCGAATAGAATATCTAATTTATTATATAGCTTTCTTTATTTAGACTATAAGTCTATATCGGTATTAATATATTTTATTATCGATCCGATCGAGTTATATCTTTAAGATTTATATTCTTAATCTATATTTAGATCTTAGGTTCCTATAATATTTTAGATTATTAGGGCCTCTAGCCCTTCGGTCTTTTTTAGAGCTAAGGTCTTTTTATCTATAATTCGGTTCTAAATTAGATTAATTAATTCCTTTCTTATAATTACTTATTCAGAATTTAGAATTCTAAAAAGCCTATCTATAAGATTTATTTTTCTAGGCTTATATTTTATAATAAAGTTAAAAGATATTAAGAATATATATTAGTATACCTATCGGCTATTAAACTTCTACTAGATTATAAATATATATAAATTAATATAGTCTAATAATATTTTAATAGGATACTTACTATTATCTAGATAGTACCGTTAGTATTAAAAAAAGTAAATAATAGCGAAAAGCTTTTAATCTAGGGTAGTATAATTAAGTTTTAGACCCGAAAATTTCTTTAACTAAAAGGCTATTAGATATTACCGACCCTCTGAATCTAGCTATAAGAGTATATCTTTTATACTCTAATTTAAAGTATCCGTTTCTAATATAATATACTTCTTTAGATTAAAATAATATAATAGGGATACTAATTAGAAGATAAGTTTTAACTACCGAAATACTTATAATTTAGTCGCGTTTAACTATACTTACCCTAACTTTTTACTATTCTTACTTTCTTTTATTATAGACGTAAGGGGTAGGGATAATTAGGAATATCTTTTTATAAAGCGGCGGTAGAAATTATAAAATCTTAGGAAGACTTAGATATTATAATAGCTTTTTAGTTCTTCCTATTTTTAGATTATACGGACGTAGCTTTAGTCTATTTTTATTCCTAATCTATCTATAATAAACTCTAAGAACTTAACCTCTCTTTAATAAAAAGTATATTTTAATAATTTTATATAGAGTTCCGCTCTTTATAGTCTTTCGAAGACTTATTAAAAAGCTTTTATATAGGATTCTCGATCTTTTATAAATACTAGGATATCGTCTAGATAAGCTATATATACTATATTAATTAGTCTTACTAACGCGGTATAAATATAACTTTAGAAGGTAGTAGATATATTAAATAATCTAAATAGTATAATTATATATTTAAAATAGCTATATTTTATTCGGAAAGCCGTTTTTTATTTATTATTTTTTTAGAGTCGAATCCGGTAGTAGGTATTCTTAATATTAATCTTACTAAAAAACTAAGCTTCTAAAAAGTAGTTAAGAATCTCTAAAATAAAGGATAGAGGGTACCGGTTCTTAACCGATATATAGTTTAGCCCTTTATAATTTATATATAATTATAGGCCTCTATCCTTTTTTAGAATAAAAAGAATAAAGACGCCCGCGGGGCTTTTTAATAGGCGAATTCTTTCTTTTTTAATATTATCGACTAAATAGGCCTATAACTTCTTAAGTTCGGTTCTAGATAGTAGGTAAATTAGCCTATAAAAAAAGGTTTTCCTTTTTTTAAGTTTAATTATATAATCGGATATTTTAGTCTTTAGTAAGATATCTATTTTTTTATAGTTAAATATATTAAGAAACTCTTCTAATTTAAGGGATATTTATACCTAATCTATATCCGATATAGCGACGTCTTTATCTAGTAACTAGACCTCTTCTAATATCTTAATTAATATATAGATAATAGCGGTATTTCTTAATTATTTTATAAATTTATAGAGGTTTTAGAGTTTAAAACTCTTTATCCCGAACTACTATTTATCTATATTAGGACGTAGAATTATATTAAATTTATTTATAAATATCTTAGATAAAAGTATTAGACTTTTTTTAATCTAAGATCTCTCTCAATCCTAATATAGGGTTAATTTACTATTTTTTTAGTCTCTTTAAAGTCTCTAATTATAAAAGATACTTAATATATATTATAGGTATAAAGTCGTTCTAGGGCTACGCCTTTTAATAATAGAGATATAAAAGATATAGTATATAATTTATTTTCTTTAGCGAACTCTCTATTAATTATATTATATTTTACGCTAGTATTTAGATCCGTATATATTTCGATATTATTATATATAGTAATCGGTATATAAAAATATATTATAGTCCTAATAAATAAATATTAAGCTAGTATATTAAGATCTACTCTAGCTCTTTAATTTTTTCTAATTATTTAGAATCCCGAGTTTTTAATACTTAGATAATAGATTAAATTAAGACTTTTTAGAGGTAATCTTAAGCCTAATAGTTTTTATTTTTATAGATAAAATAAGCGCTTTCTAGTATCTTTTCGGTACTATTTTTCTTTTTAGGCTATATATTATTTATAGAGCTTTATAAATTATCTCGATTATTTAATTTATATCTTTAGCCCCGGCTTCGGATTTTAAAATCTTTAGATTACCCTCTACCCCGAGATTATCCTCTATCTTAAAGAGTCGAGATTTCGATATAAGAGTAATTTAATATTAAATTAGTATAGTTTCTCTATCTTTTCTTATCTTAGTAATAATAGTTTAAAAAGTCCTTCTTTAGCCTCTAGTATATAAAATAAATATAGTAAAGTATAGATATTAGCTTTAATATTTTATTCTAATTTATAAATAAAATATTATTATTAGTAGTAATTATAATATCTTAGAGAGGTTTCTATAATTTTATAAATAGGGTCTAGGTCTTTTATTTCTTATTTTAGTTTAGGAGGTAATTTTCTAGCGATTTAAGGTAGTTTTCGAAATTACGAGGGTCTTAATAGGGTTTTATTATAGTCTTTTAGAACTAGATAAGGATATTAGTAATAATATTATAAGAGTTTTTTAGAAGTATTTTTATCTATTTTTTAAATATATCTTAATCCGATATCTTTTTAGGATATTTCTATTTATAAGATATCTATTTTCTTTTATAAGAGATATATAGGTAATTTATAGTAGTAAGGATTTTTTAGGTTTTTAAGATATATATTTTTTTAGAGCTCTTTTAAAAAGCGCTTTAAGATTATTTAGTTAGTCTTTTTTTTATTTTATACTAAAATCTAGTTTAAATTAGCTAATATCTTTTTTAATCTCTTTTTTTTAGGAAGGTTTACTTTCTATAGATAAATCGTAGTAGTTCTGAGATCTTTTTATTATTTAACTAAAATTCTAAAGTTTCTTTTTTATTTTTTATAACTATTTTTTAAACCGCGAGAATATATTCTTATAATACTACTTTAGCTTTATATTCTATAATCTTTTCTTCTAGGCTTCGAAGGGTTTCGTTAGCGATATAAAAGCTTTCCGCTACTATCTCGGTAGTTTTTTTAGGTAGATCCTAAATTAGTATTTCCTCCTATTCTTCTATAGGTAGAAGTATTCCTAATTCGCTACTAGTTTAAATAGGATACTCTAGTACCTTAATATTATTACGCGAGCTATTACGGGTAGTTAGGGGAGCTATTATATCTTAGATAGTTAAAGAAGAAGAATTAGAATTATAAGAATATACTATTTTAGGTATAAGGCCTATTAACCGGGTAAGATACGTTAGCTTAGGAGGAGGAATAAAGATATATTAGGCTATATATACTAAGACTAATTCTTACTAGAATTTAGGGGGTCCTAGGGGGACCTAAGATTAAAAGGAAATATACGTGCTAAGGTTCGGCACCGATTAGGTGACGAACCCCGTACGATTCACATATATGTCAAAAACTTCTATAAATATATATGTCGCCTAAGTTCCTATTTTACCTTTGAAAGGACCTTTATCCTTTACACTAATAAGATTAATTTAATATACTAAAGTTTAGAAGAAGAATATTTAGATTTAGAGAAGAAGAAGAAAAAGAAGGAAATAGAGTAAAAAGTAAGAGATATTTATATCTTTAATAGGCGTTTATCTTTTAAATTATTTCTATAAGCGACTAATTAAGACTATTTACTCGTCGGGTAAATAAAGCTACTTTTAGATAAAAGTAAGCCCCGCCTATAATCTAATATAAACTAGCTTTCTACGCTTTTTACCTAACTCTCTACCTTACTATTAAAAAAGAAGTTAGAATAGTATTACTTCGGTAGCTACTAGGGCGGTAGCTAGATTTAGTAGGAAGGGATATACTCCCGAGCGCTTAGTAGGGTTGCCGGGCTCGGTACCTAAGGTAGCTCCGTATACCTTAGGCAAGTAGACCTTGGCTTAGCTAAGGGTTACTAAGCGCACAACAAACTTATTAACGCGAGAGAAAGGCTTAGCAAGTATTATATAATTAAGTAATGCCTATAGGCCGCAGCTAGTCAACCAATTGAAAACCATGCGATCCTTACAGAATCTCAGTCTTGGCGCCATAGGGTCACCTGATCATGAAGGCTGTAACACGGCCCTCGTTGAGCTGGCACCCGCGGTGCAGGCCTAGCCTGATCATCATGGCCGTAGTTGAAGGCAATAATAACCCTAAGATTTTTGCCCATGCGGAGCAAATTGCTCTATTTACGTAGTTGTTTCTCCACTGGCTTCCAATCGATGTCAGTAGAAATATAGAATTTCTCAAAATCTTTCAAGGACTTGTCGTTGACCGACACGGTAACAGCTGTGCCTTCAGAGCGAATACGTTGGCTACGCTTCTTTTTCATTTGTAAAATGTCCTCAACATTTGCCTTCAACGTTCCGTCCCAGTAATCACTAGGGGTTACGATCAAGTCGTCTTCGGTCACTTTACCCACCGTCTTGCGGTTGAGTACAAGCGATTGTGTAGCAAACATAATGAGGAGGATACTCATCGTATTTACCTTTTCATGTCTCTGACTATTGATTGGATCAGAGAAGCCAATCAAATATGTTTATTTCCACATGTATCGACCATATTGGGTAATAACTAGGTGATCTGATACCTGCTCGGGAGAAACTCTGCATTTAGTGGCCCGATTTGCCATATGTTTTTACTTCTCGAGCTTGCATATTTTCTTTTTCGCCTTTGCCGTTGTCTACCTAGGATCTATGTATTTTATGCCTGACTCCCGCCATTGGTATACCTATATGTAACACGGATCACTTTCTCCATGTATAAGAGGCTCTGATTCCCCACTAGAACCCTCCCCGTGATCTGGAGGCTTGCCATTTAGCCAGAGCGCTGAAACTGCAGCGACAAGAACTAAAAAAGGCCAGCGTCCAGCACATGATTGCCCATCCAAACCGGTACATGATAAAGCTGGCCCACAGGGGACCAAGGAATAACCCGATAAACTGAGCCATGGTCTGCAGAGCAAATGCCTGCGCAACGGCACCTTTCGAGCCCATAACACCAGGCTTCTCTCGTTCCATATCGTCTAGCACAGACTGAGACTCCACATATAAGGAAGGCAAGGCTGTAATTGTGAACAGACCGCTCAGACACATAAGGCCAATGAGGGCGATGATGCAAAGAAAAGAATTGTGCCCGACAAAAGCAAGGCAGGTTTGCGTCGGTACGAGAAAGAGAAACCCTAGAAAGATCATTATTCGGGGACCGTAACGATCACAAAGAGATCCTGTCGCTGTCAGTAAGGCGTTACAAGCCCATTGAGAGACTGTTAACTGTCAGCTTACCGGAGTAAGGACCCAGCAGTGATACTAGAGCACTAGGGAGAAAGATCAATCCAGCTCCTATTGGGGACCAATGATAGCTCGATTCCACGAATACAGGCATGGTCTTGTGCAATCAGCTTCGAAAAGCTCATAACAGATTATAATATGAGGATATGGTTGCACTCACGGCATCAAACGTCGAATTGAGAATCCCAATGACACAAAGCCCCCCAAGCGTGATGAGCATTCGCGGCTCTTTTAAAAGCTTTAGCAGAACCTTGACCCCCCCAGGAGCTACTCGCTGGCCGTCGCAATCAAGGAGAACTTCATCATCACCGGACAGGATATCCGCACCAGGTTGAATCCACTTTATGGCAACTTTTTTCTCAATCAGCAGTAGTCGTAGAACAAAATCAATGCCAATCAGAACAGCAGATATTATAAAAACTGCCTCATATCCGAGCTTGCTGTATGTGACCCCCCCTACAGAAGGGCCTAAGACAAACCCCATTGTGGTGGCAGAGCCGAGATATCCAATTGCGGTGCCTAATCGCTCCTTTTCGAATGTGTCCGTGGTGAGCGTAAGACCAGCGACGCACACCATAGCCGTGGCAGCACCTTGGAGGAGCCGCGCTATGAGGAAGATAGAGAGCGTTTTTCCGACCGCGAGAAGGATCATTGAAGCGGCCAGCAAGATAAGACCGGAAAGAAAGGGGAGTTGCCGTGTGCGTGTACGATCGACTAGGAATCCGAAGAAAGGGCAGCAAACCACCACCATCCCAGCGTCACACATCAGAAGAACGCTCGACCAGTATTGACCTTCATACAGTATTAAGATTCCATCATTCTGCGCGAAATGAGGGTGGAGAAGGGGTTAGACGGGTGAAACTCACGGTCGGCGGGTAAAACGTGAGCGCGGGTTATCAATGCGGTCGGCATCACAGGCACAATCTAACATTGGAATTTCACTCATGAGTATTCCAAGGTCAAGGTAGTTGGCATCATCTAGTGACTTACCATTGCGAAGAGGAAGAACTCCTAGCGATAGTCAGTTCTAGTTTAAGCGGAATCCAACTTCTCTGAAATCCTTACCGTGAACGTTGCCATCCAGACCGTAGCAACAATAAAGCTCGTGGAAGACCTCCATTGCACGCCCCATGGCGGGGAGTGGTTAGGGATTTTGATGGTTGACATGAAAGAGGTGGATGACGGGATTAGTGATCGTCTCCGAGGGAGGGGGATGGACTATTATATAACTACAATATCTTGCATATTTGTTTTAGCGAGTCCAATGATGTTGTGCATAGTAATAAACAGTGAGTAGGTGCAGGTGAACAACGCAAGCAAGGGGGCTATTTGCTTATTTGGGGCGTTGTGATGAGATCATAGACTAGTGGCTTGGTCTTCAATGTGCCGACTACCATAAGAGGGGGTGCATACCGTATGAACAATACTTAGAACACCTGCATACTATGTACATGTATCATTTGAACAGTTGTGTAATGCTTTTTCGACAATCCCTCGCCATCTACATTTTGGTTTGTCCAACTACAACCAATCATCCGTTCTTTATTTTTCTTCATTTTGGAATCTTACTTTATTTATCATGACACCTTAGAAAGCGCAAAGCTAAGCTCCTAAAGTAACGACAACTTTCTGGGAGCTAACTCCCTGTTTGACTCTGTCAACTCCTGCCTGAATAGCCTCCAGGCCATGACCAATAATCAACGGATCTGGGCATGGCTTGAAGGTTTTCTGCTGCAGGGCCATCGGCAGATAATCTTCGTACAGCATCTTCCCTACTGGATTGCCTGCAATATCCCCTCCCAGGACTAGATTTGGTCAGCATTCGTCCAGGCGCCGCCATTTTTCTATCCCAATGATTTACCTGGTTCAGATACTACACCCTCCAATCTCACGTTTCCTGGTATTGGATTGGTCGTAATGACCTTTGTGTTAAGCTGCATGCGTTTTATGATATCGACGCACGCCTGGATAGTGTAGCTCTTCGATATTGCGTCGAAGAATCCCACGACCTGCTTTTCACGGAGCGCATCGATAATCTCATCAATAACAGATTCTTTTTGGTAGTCAAATACCATTGCAGCGCCCCAAGCAGAGCAAAGAGCGTGATTGTGTGGGCTGGCCGTAGTGAAGACCTCGTATCCTGAGTCCCTTGCTAGTTGAATGGCACAGCTGCCCACACTAGATGCTCCTCCCCAGATAAGGATAGTTTTGCCAGTTGAACGAGGCTTTGTCGACGGGGGGCTCTAGCTGAAGAGTGTTCTCTTGGTATAGTCCAGACGCAGCGGTGGAAAGTGCACATGGGAGAACAACTCCATGGGAGAATAGAATATGGCTAGGCAATGGACAAACCAATGTAGCCAAGCAAACAGTATAATTTTGAAAAGCTCCATGCTTTGCCTTTCCGCTGTCTAACCCAAATCCATGACTAAAGTTCCCGCGAATCTGGTCAGCCGTAGACTTTGCAGCGAGGTATGGAAAGCCATACCCAATTATCCTCTGGCCTACAACAAATCGCTTGACCTCACTTCCTATCTCAACGATTTCACCGGCAACATCACACCCCAAGATGTGGGGATATTGCAAGTAATCCAGGAAAGCGTCATCTTGAACCATGAAATCAATGGGGTTGATGGCAACAGCTGAGTTCTTCACCAGAACCTCGTTTGGGCCTGGGGGGTTATAAGGGGATTCCTGGACCACAAATGATCTCGCTTTGGGGCTGATTGCCCAGGAAGCCTGATTAAAAGGACGAATGCCGCTGTCCATGTTTCAAATTCGTGATCTATTCAGATGTTTGAGCTGAATGAAAAGTGCGCTGCGAGGATAAAAGCTCACAGGGATGGGAAATGAAATATATACGTAGCATCATGCAAACATGATGCGGATTAAAAAGGCATCCGTGGTATTCATCTCGGATTCGTGATATGCAAGGAACTTCACATGTACGTAAGATACCAATCAATATATCGATCATATCCCAATATCTGTGTACCGCATATAAATCATATGTAATAAACCAGACTACCCACATGGAGTAATTTTAACTCATGCAAATGCGGTGAAACATCAATTGCATACTTGAAAGTTAAAAGCTGTATGGTCAGAAATTCTGTGACTAGGCAATTTTCACTAACGAAAATAGTTTAATTTATGTCAAGCTAGAAGGACTATTTTAAACAGTCTTACCACAAGACGGCATCTCATAGACTATAAATTGACCAGTTAGACCATACTTTGTAACATTCTACAGCTGGAACAACATCTATTTCAGTTCAATTCTTTCTACGACCACTCAACATGAAGCCCTCCGAGCCGGAAACTTTCCTGTTTACCTCTGAATCAGTTGGGGAAGGCCATCCAGATAAAATTTGTGATCAGATTGCGGATTACATTCTAGATGTCTGCTTGAAGGATGACTCTCTATCAAAGGTTGCCATTGAGGTTGCCATTCGAAAGGACCTGGTCATTGTGTTTGGTGTCGTAGAGTCGACCGTCGCTCTTGACGCCGACGAAATCGTCCGTCATGTCCTCAAAGATATTGGTTATAATTCCCCAGAGCAGGAAATTGACTATCGAACATGTCAAGTAATGGACTATGTTGAGCGACGAGCCCCCAGTCTTTCGCGGAAAGTACCTGGCTGTATGTGTGTTTCTTGCCCTAAGCCGGCCGAGGAAAAAGCAGGAGATCAGGGAATCATATTCGGCTACGCCTCCGATGAGACTAATCAATTGCTGTAAGTGTTGCTAGGGCTTAACTTTTCTGATTCTCAACACTAACTGAAGGGGCCTATAGACCTATGACTATCGATCTTTCTCACAAAATCTCGCTGCAGATGAAGTTTGCGCGTGTCAAGGGCACCCTCCCATGGCTGCTTGCAGACACCAAAACACAGGTGACAATGGAATATATGGAGGATGATGGGAGGGTGATACCCATTCGTGTTCATACCATTGTCCTTACTGCCCAGCATACGCCCGATGTGACCGTCGAGAAGCTTCGTGAAGCAATCCTCGATCAGGTCATTCGGAAAGCGATCCCACCCAAGTACCTTGATTCCAAGACCATCTATCATGTGGGTATTACCCAGAACCCTTAAACATTGAGCCCAATGCTGATACATAACAAATCACAGATCCAACCAACTGGAGATGAAGGGGTGACTCCATCTGGGAAATTCGCTGGGGTTACAGGTCGTAAGATCGTGGTGGATACCTATGGCGGGTGGGGAGCTCACGGTGGGGGTGCGTTCTCTGGAAAGGATTTCAGACAGGTTAGTGTGGCTCTTCGTCCAATAGTGCGGACATGCAACTAATGTTTGGACTAGGTTGATCGATCTGCCGCGTACATGGCGCGATGGATCGCAAAGTCAATCGTGCATGCAGGTCTTGCGCGACGGTGTTTGATCCAGCTCTCGTATTCAATCGGAATTGCTCAACCGCTGAGTATCTACGTTCAGACTTACGGCACGAGCAAGCTGAGTTCTGTGGAGCTAGAGCGAATCGTATTTCAAAACTTCGACATGCGCCCGGCGGCCATCGCAAATGCGCTAGGACTGACACGTCCTATTTACTATTTGACGTCCAAGCAAGGCCATTTCACGAGCATGTCGTTTCCATGGGAAAATCCCAAAGAGCTGTCGGTGATCTAGCTCTCCCCTTTCAATCAACCATGGTGTATAGAAAAATCTGTACGTATTGATCTTCTCTTGGGCAAGTGACAATTTCGGGCAATACCTAGTAAAAGCATACATATCCTTGAATCCATGCATTAATTGAAAATTTGAGGCCAAAGCATTCTAGTATTTCTCAAACGCATTTTCACGCAATGACACCCAAGGGATCTTATTAGTTGCAGCCTGTCGGTAGTAGTTGTAGTGGTGGTGGTGGTGATAGTATTAGTAGTAATCATTCACATGCTATCAACCTCGTATTCAATCCGTAGAAGTGAAGTGACGTAGTGTATCGCCACCCAGTTAACAAACAGCTCCACCTCCCACCTCCACGCTGGTTTCGTCGTAACACTGAGGCCTTGAATCATCAAACCCACCGCATGTCTGATGATTGGGCGGTTAGACGTGTTGACGGCGATCATCCCAGGTAGGCCTAGCGAGGGACAGGGGCCTGTGGCCGTTGTGCTGTATAACGTGATGTGTCGAGGGTCAGGAGAAACGCGCATTGACATACGAAAATCGAGGCACTAACAACCCAGTGGCTACCTGAATAACCCGCGGGCTGATCGGTGTTCTGAGATCATTCAAATGCACGTTTGTGGATTTACGTAATTCTAAGGGTCATTGTTACACAAGATGGTGATTGACGATGCATACATAGTATCACAGATGCATTAATCACAGCAGGTACTCCGTACCCCTTACCTATTAAGCAAGGTACTCGATGCTCGACTTCAAGGTTGACAGGAACTGCAGAAATACCCATATTTCGTAAACACGGAATCCTCTCCTAGATCGAGACAGCACTCAGGTTTCTCTCATCTTACTACCTTCATTTATATGTTAGGTAACTATACTCCATATGTAAGAAGTGATAGGGTAGGTGATTGACCCATCTCAAGTAGCATCTTCCACCTGATTTATCTCCTCTCTTCCAAGGTTATCCACCACCGCCGCCATCAGTATTATCAATATCATCACATTGTGCGTGCTTTTCCTCAGTCCATTCAGTGATGGGCCTTATCAATGAATCAGCTGTCTGCTGAAAACATGCATATGTGCAGTTTATTCCCCACTCTATTTGTCCCTGTCCCAACTCCCCTGAACGCGGTCCCGAGGTTGTAATGTTGTTTCCCTAATTTTCATCCCGTGGTCTATCGGGCATCTAGTCGTTAATGCATAGGCAGTCTTATTTAACATTCAAATCGATACTTGAATAAACATTTGAGATTGTTACGCCAACCATACAAAGAGGTATAGGGAATGCGGAAGAGGTGCCTAGGCACCACCAGAGTTGATACATCACCTCGCTTACCTTCCTGCATATGCACGCAGGCATCCCCTCGAAAGGAGGAGCTGGATCCTCTTAGGAGGACCAGCGATTAGTCTGAATATCATCATAACCATATCAGGCATATCTCACATTCTTCACTCGTATCCTTATCGTATCAGGACGTCCCTCAGGAGATTGTCCTAACAGAGATATATTATTTGAATCATTGGACACTGATCGTCCTCGGATGAATGAGTAAATAAATTAATCCCCAGATAACAACTATCACATGCCCAAAATTCAAAATGCTTTCAGGTTGAACTTGAAGGCATAGAAGACCCTTGGGCCTCGAATTCCATACATACCAGGGAACATATTCGCCCCCAGGCCGCGCTCACTGCTGACCTTTGATGGCTCACATTCAAAGTTACACTACATATTTATCGAAAGCTACTGTAGAAGATAAGCAGCTTCCGGAGATTGTCTTACTGTACTTCGTACAGTCAATAATACTTACATACCTACTACTAGTGGTGTTCCTCACGCATCACATATGCACCTATAAGCGCATAGACATCTGGAGATACTCAAGTAGATCTTCGATGGTGAACTATAATATCTCTATATGTATTAACATTGCTTTTGTATTCAATATACACTGCCTGGCCAGTATGTCGGAACACCTGCAAGCCACATTTTAATTATTGCCTCGTAACACATATACATATGTATGTAAACTGCTAGATAATTTCTCAGCTGCCGTAGTTATTGTATGAATGCCTTCTAGTTAAATACTGTAAAAATACTAAAATTTCAGTGGCTCACGCTTATGCACGCTAAAAGTATTCCGACATACTGGCCAGGCAGTGTATTTCTTGACTGCGTCATGGTGCTTCCAAGGCCATGAGACCCACAGAGTTTATGTCTTGGACATGACGCAGCGGTCTGAAAAGAATTGGCACTCAAAGCTGGTAAAGGGGTGTATTACCTACCAACCTCCTTCAAATTTCAGATCAAGCTACATTGACTAGATTGGCCTTGAAACTTCAGTCATAAATAGCACATTCGCTGCTTGCGAAAGTCTGTCGTGGTAATCCAAGAAGATATTACCAACTTAACTATGATGTTCACCGAAGGGACTAATCGATGGATACTCATCGCGCTCATCACGATTCCTGTTTACTATCTATCTCTCATTTTTTACAGACTTTACCTTCATCCCCTCAGTCGATATCCTGGTCCCAAACTTGCCGCCATTTCCACCCTATATCGAGCATACCACGAGGCATGGCGAGATGGTTGTTTGGTGGAGCAGGTAACAGAACTGCATAAACACTACGGCAAGACGTTATGCCCAAATTCAATGTCACTTCTTCCAGCTCTGACTATTTAAAAATAGGCCCAGTCGTTCGGATCACACCAAATACAGTGCGTGGACTCTTACAGAATAACCGATCGTTTGGTGGCTAATTTGTGGCAATCAGCTGCATTTCCGTAATCCACAAGCTTTCCACGATATTTTCTCGCCCCAAAGCAAGACAGGAAAAGACCAAGAGTTCTTGACGAGTCTCGGGATGCTCGAATCATCTTTCAAGCTTGAAGGCGAAATGCATCGGACAAGATGGAAGCTTATGGCGCCATTCTTTAAACCCGCCTATCTTGGCGAGATTCATACTGTCATTCTCAAGAATGTATGATCCTATTCTCTCGTATCGTAAGCAAAAGCTCAAATATTTGCAGGCCCAGAGGTTCTGTGACCTTCTACAACCCAGCGCAAAACATAATATGCCCGTGGAATTGGCATTCGGGTTCCGCAGTCTGACATTGGATTTCATCAACGAGATGATCTTTCCCGTTCTTCCTAGCAATTTTCGAACACTCAATAATGGAGAATTCAGTCATCCACTATGCAGATCGACTTTCCTTGGCTATGATTGGACTTTCTGGTTGATGCGAAACTTTCCCATTACCCATAGACTCCACAGTATAGCTAACTATCTCCCTTCATGCCTCCGAGTCGGTTATCATAATCGAAACGTCGAAGAAAAGGTTGGCATGCTACCTTATCTCTGATTTTATCCTGGAAATGAGAACCTCACACTTCTATAGACAATGACCGATCTCTTTCATCACAACCTTGCATCTCCCCAGTTGAAGACTCAAGCCAGCTTTCTTCGCATGCTCATGGACTCTAAAGCTGAAAAAAATAATATCGTGCTTTCCATACCTGAGGTCTTCGGTGAATTAATGGGTATCATGCAAGGTGCTGTGATTGACATTTCCAATGTTCTGCCTTACTGTGCCTTTCGAATAGCCCGGGATCCTGAAGTACAGCGGAAGCTGCTTGTGGAGTTACAAACCGTCTGGAAGAATCCAGACGAACCAATCCCACCTTGCGAAGTGCTAGGGAATCTCCCATATCTGGTAAGTTACACCTCCTTGTTTGGTGGGGGATTTTCTTTTAATCAATCTACAGAAAGGTGTTGTAAAAGAAAGTCTCCGCTTGACACATGGCGTCATTTCCGGCATGCCCCGCGTTGTTACAGTCGAAGGGACTCAAATCGACGGAAACTTAATACCCTCCGGGGTAAGTGCTACTCAAAGTTCGAAATTTGATCTGTGATGCTCAACATAACAATTCAAATAGACGGTGGTAGTCACCTCTTCGTCATACGTTCATATGGATTCCACTATATTTCCCGACCCTGAGAGATTTATCCCCGAACGATGGCATGCAGAAGATCCCCAACTTGATCGATCTCTCGCTTCCTTCTCGAAGGGTCGGCGGATGTGCCCCGGAGCGCAGTGAGTGTTTGGAGACCGACAGATCAGATTCTCGAACTATCGCTGACAGATGAAGTATTTCGTATCCCCACCTTTCGACGGCGACAGCTGCCGTCTTCCGCAAATTTGAGGTTTCGCTGTACGAAACAACGTAAGTCTTTCCGGATCCCTGTCTCTGTTTGCAATCTGACAAAAAATTTTAATTTCCAGTGATGAGGACATGAAATATAAGACATATGTCTCGATACACTTCACCGGTCGACCTTTGAGAGTGACTCTCAAACCTAGACCCAGTTAATTGTTTGAGTCTGACACAGCAACATCCATTCAAAGCTTGCTGTAAGCGAACTTATAACTTGAGCTGATTAGAGCAGTTGGTAAAATTGTGCCTGGATATTGCGTATGCAGTCCAGTACTCGGGCATTCCATCCAAGTAGATGCGGAACCCTTCAAAGCGTTAAATTTATGCCTGCTATTTGGCTAATAAATCTATTCAAATAAAATGTTTCCGTCCCTCTGGAAGTATTCCCCTTGGAAGTATTCCCCTTGGAAGTATTCCCCTTGGCATCTTGGTGCTCCAATAACTAACTAGTTAATGGACTGGTGCCTGCAGATTCAGGCAGCCGCATGTAACTTACTGGTGATAACCTCACCTTTCAGTCCGTAGTAGTTTCTTTTCCTTCCACTCATATCACCTTTCCATCCCATACGTATGAGCTGTAGACCTCATCCTCCTGTTATCATGGATAGCCACACTACTCAGTGTTGAGACCTGAGGGCACAGGCGGATTGTGCTTAGTCATCCCGCACACTGTCGGAATAACTAACGTAATCCACGGCCGAGCTGCGCACACGGTCGGCCTGCGCACCCGTCTTCCAGCCACTCTACCTAGTTCAATTACTTACCATGCCACCAATTCGCACTGAATCTTCGCATAAATCGGCCAATCAAGAGGGCAGGATCCTATTAGCCCTCTCCGATATCAAAAATGATCGTATTAAATCTATTCGCGCAGCAGCAAGGCTATATGATATACCTGAATCAACACTCCGCAGCCGCGCAAAGGGTATATCATCACGCGTCGATATACGCCCAAACGGCTATAAATTGTCCCAATTTGAAGAGGATTCGCTTACTGAATGGATACTCTCTATGGATTCACGTGGAGCAGCCCCTAGGCCCTCTACTGTATGAGAGATGGCCGATATCCTTCTTGTAGCGCGTGGAACAACCCCCCCATTGACTGTTGGTGTTAATTGGGCGTCAACCTTTGTTACACGATGCGATGAGCTTCAAACGCGCTTCTCGCGACGATATGACTATCAGCATGCTCTTAAAGAGGATCCAAAGGCTATATGAGAGTGGTTTTTGATGGTACAACGCGTGATCGAGAACGGTATCCAACCGGAGGATATCTATAACTTTGATGAGACTGGATTCGCAATGGGCCTTATATCAGCGCAGAAGGTAGTTACACAAGCTGAATACTACGGTCGGTGATCGATTCTACAGCCAGGAAATCGCGAATGGGTTACTGCGATCAAAACGATATGTTCTGATGGCTATTCGCTGACGCTATACATCATATTTAGGCGCCAGGTTTATATTGCTGGTTGGTTTGAATCAAATCTCCCTAGGGATTGGCGAATCGAAGTATCGAATAATGGCTGGACTACCGATGAAATTGGCCTTTGCTGGCTATAAAAGATCTTTATTCTATGTACTACTTCACGCATACAAGGGCGATTTCGGCTATTAATCCTTGATGGCCATGGTAGCCATTTAACACCTTAATTCGATCAAATCTGTGCTAAAAACGATATTATACCACTCTGTATGCCTTCACATTCATTGCATCTACTACAACCACTTGATGTTGGGTGTTTTGCTGTTTTGAAGCATACGTATGGTCGATTTGTGAGTGATTTAGCCTGAACTGGCTATAATCATATTGACAAGCTTGATTTTCTAGCAGATTATCCTCATGCACGACTAGAAGCTTTCCAGCCGAATATCGTTCAAAGCAGCTTCGCAGCTACTGGTATCATACCAGTTAATGCTGACAGAGTACTTTCTAAGCTTAATATCTCTCTCTGAACACCTACACCACCATCAAACCGACCAAGCAGCAGATCTAGCCAATTCATACCAAAAACACCTAGAACAGCGATTTAGCTAGCTAAGCAAGCTTCTATGCTTAAAGAGCTATTAAAGCAACGATCAAATAGCCCTCCAATACCGTCAAAAATCATACTTGATCAGATTATCAAAGGCCACTCTATTGCACTGCATAACACTGTGCTACTAGTAAAGGAGAACGCCAATCTACGCGCGGCAAATGAAAAGAAACGTCAAAAGCGCACTTGATCGACTAGACAGATCGCTCATGAAGGAGGACTATCGATCGAAGAGGGCCTACAGCTAGCTCAGCAGCCAATTCAGCCGGTAGAAGCTGATGAGGTAGTATCGCATGAACAGGAGGTTGATCTGCCTCAGCAGCCAATTCAACCGGCTAGGAGGGCTCCTCCTACCTGCAGTGGATGTGGAGTAACTGGACATAAGATTAACCAATGTAGAAATCGCTAGTTTAGGATGAATTGATGCGTTTGTGTTGATATATTTTGGTTAAAAAGTTTATAATAGGGGTAGGTGCGCAGGCCGACCGTGTGCGCAGCTCGGCCGTGGATTACGTTAGTTATGTGGAGCTTTGTTTTGTCATATGTTGTATTTAGTAACGTGATTGTAATATTCGGTAGATAGATTGTCCGCGCTACCATACAAAATCGTTATGGTAACAGAGACGTTCACAAAAAATGTCAGTATGAGGAATTGATGTACTGGCTAGTACTGAACATGTCCAATAAATTAGATGATTGATTGTAGGTGTTAAGATCGGTTGAATGATCTCAGGGGTCTCTTTTGCCGAACTATGGCGTGTTATGACACCATACTAGGAAGAAATTGGGTGAACGATGAATAAGCCGATCCCGAAGGGTCTTAGTGGTATTCTACCACTTCTTTAGTTCGTCAAAAAAGACTCCTTACTATCTCATTCGTGTATGCTACTTAGGCCCACAGCTGCTCCGACACACACCACACGCTGTGTAGTAGATAGATCTCGCCTATAGCATGCATCCATCTATCACATTGATCATCACATCCAGTCCCTCTGCATCTCTAGCACTCAGTACTGTCAAAAAACTAGCGACTCCTCTTCATACGTCACCCGAAGCAAGGTCCTTGGGAAATACTAGTGCATGTACAAAAAAACTCAATTTGTAACGAAATCATGTCTGTCACAAGTCTACATACTGTACTCTGTACGGAGTAGATCGACGTGCATAGGAAGGCAAAGTTATGCATCCTGGTGGGTCCCCTGCCATGTTGTGTCAGTGCGAAAACCTTCTGCAAAAGCACGCAAGGGCAACTTGGAAACGATACATCTTATTCCCCTGGGCACATGTGGTCTAGCCCATGATGTAAAGCAGGTTACTGAACACATCCGGCATGTAGTTTCAGCCCCAATAGTCATCACACCGCATCCGTGTATGTAGGTTTATCGCACTACCAAATGCGTGGCTTATTCTTTTTGCTTTTGTATAAACCGCCCAGCATGCCAGATGTTATCACCATCTTGCTTTGAGCAACGCAGCCCGAACCAGCCGCAGAAATCCTGCAGGACCTGCAGGTTCTACTGAGCGACCGCGCAAGTCCGAAATAGTCGACCAATGGACTACCCAGCTACATACGAGCCCTGTACTGCGACAAACCGATCGGAGAGAATGCGTCATGATATTATGCAGCTTCCTGGCCACAAATAGCGATGGCTGGCGGAGAAGCTTATATCTTTCAGCGAGTATTAATACCATACAGTTCCCTGTCTTCAAATATCGTAACTCTTATCAAAATTTTATTCCAATCCCTTCCAAACTACCTCACAGTTTCACTTCAATTGCTTCACATCCTTGAAAATTCACGATGGAGGAAGCATTCGGAGCAGCCCCTGAGCCTGTAACTCCATTGGGCAAATATCGCACCCTCAGCCCTCGCGCTGCCATCCGCGTATCTCCCTTACAACTTGGTGGAATGTCAATTGGTGAAGCCTGGTCCAGCTTTATGGGTACCATGAACAAAGAACAATCGTTCAAGCTTCTAGACGCCTTCGTCGCTGCCGGTGGAAACTTCATCGACACAGCAGGTTGCTATCAAGATCAGCAATCAGAAGCCTGGATTGGCGAATGGATGGCCAGTCGCAACAACCGCGACCAGATTGTCATCGGAACAAAGTACTCGTTTGATTACCGTTCCTGGGAAGCAGGTAAAGGCAACGTGCCCAATGCAGCAGGAAACTCCAAACGCAACATGTTTCATAGCGTGCGCGACTCTCTACGCAAGTTACAGACGGACTACATCGACATCTTCTATTTGCACTGGTGGGATCATACCACCTCGATTGAGGAGGTTATGGACTCCTTGCATATCCTCATTGAGCAAGGAAAAGTCATGTACCTAGGAGTTTCTGATACGCCCGCGTGGTGGGTATCTGCAGCGAATACATACGCCCGCGCACATGGCAAGACGCAGTTCTCTGTGTATCAGGGCCAGTGGAATGTACTTCGTCGAGATTTCGAGCGAGACATCATACCAATGGCTCGATATTTCGGTATGGCATTAGCACCCTGGGATGTAATTGGAAGTGGGCATTTCCAAACCGCAAAACAACTAGCAGAGCGCAATGCGAAGGGTGAGGGTCTACGCCTTATGGCAGGCGAAGAGCAAAGCGAAGAAGAGCGTCGGATTTCAGAGGCGCTGTCCCAAGTCGCATCTGAACATGGTATTGAATCAGTTACTGCTATCGCAATTGCCTACGTCATGAGCAAGACACCCAACGTTTTCCCTGTTGTCGGGGGCCGTAAGGTCGAGCACTTGCACGACAACATCCAGGCTTTGTCTATTCGTTTGACTCAAAAGCAGGTTGAATTCCTTGAATCTGCCAACGAGTTCGATATTGGCTTCCCTCAAAACTTTGCTGGACGAGATCCCACTGTCACAGATGGCAGGACCATGGAACTGGCCCATAATGCTGCTCTTGTTGAGTATGTGATGGCCCCGAAAGCCATTGGCTATTAGGCGGGTAAATGACTCTAGGGTCTAGGATTTCTTGTATGAGAAATGAGTATATTGTGACCATGTTTAAGTTTACTTCACTCTCAAGCACAAATCATCCATCTGCTGCGTTTGGATCCATTATTACTGTAGAACTGATCTTGCACCGCCGTAGACCGCGATATTCGTATTAGTTATCCACTGAATCGATCTCGTAACCATTGTCAGGGAGAGCCCAGGGAGCAATCCGGGAGCAAAGGAAGCGACCTTCAGGGAGGAGCAAGCGATAAGACTGGTTTGATTGCGATCACGTGATGTATGGATGACTGAGATTTTGGTAAAATGAACGCTTAAACTGGCGTCAAGTGTAGCCGTATTGGGCGTTCGATTTACCGTCACTTAGCGTTGGGGTGTAGCACACAAAAATATGATTCTATAATATTCAGAATTGAAAAAATTATACCTATCAGAATCTTTCCTCGACTGAATATTCTGTTGGTAGAAATATTCACTAGGTGGGGCGCTCGTTGGCATCTCGGTTGATCGTCAGCGTTTCGCCGAGGCAAGAGGCGCAAAAAAAAGGGTACACAGGATGCCACGGTTTTCGTACGTGGATACCCCACGATACACATGGTCTCCCGAACTCCTACGTCCTAGGATCTGCCACGGTTCTCGCACTAGCGAAAATACCCACGATGTAGACGATCCTCCGATGTCCTGTTTCCTCGTTCGTACGATAGACCACGTGTTCCTCTCTTTTCTAGCTATCGCATGCAGTCATTGTTCTCCCGACAGAGCATTTCGTACGATGGACCACGGTTTTCCCTCTTTCGGAATTAGTATACAGTATTCTCAATCTGATTGTCATACAGGAGCTAGATTTCAGTCAATGGTTGGAGGATCAGACGGTAGAGATGTACAGAAAATAGGTAAACAAGTCGAATCAGAGGCACAAGCATCAGTAAAGAATTCCCAGTAACGAATCTATCAGTATCAACTCATAAACGCAGGAGACCCCAGATGATGTTGAGCCGAAAATTTGCAAGAAATAATAAACCGGGATCCAAATAGAAGTTGGGCATAGCAAATCAGAAGGTAGAACTTCCCATAGGATAGGCTGCAAGAGTTGAAAACTATTTGTACGACCTCTTTAAGAATGTAGCGGCATCATGCTCCTGGGGTGAAGGAGCTGCCTCCTGGGAGCGAGAAGATATGGGCAGAACTTTTGTCTCCTGGGTACAAAAGGGCCCTAGCAAGACCTTGAAAAAGATCCACCGGAAAGCCGAACAATGGGCAGCCAAGCACGGTTCCCAGTTTGCTCCAGCAAAATATGAACTGGCTCACTTCACCAGAGATCCCAGAAAGAACAGCACACATGCTCTCCGCTTATCACACGCCACTATCGAGGCCTCTACGTCATGCCGCTATCTAGGTATTCAAATGGACACCAAGCTTCGCTGGGATGACCACCGCGATAAGGTAGAGGCGGGGGCGACGAAGCGGCTCTCGGCTCTGTCAGCACTCGCTTCTTCGACATGGGGCACCGGGGCCATCAATCTCCGGCATGTATACCGCGCGATGATCGTACCCCAGATGCTGTACGGGTGTTCAGCGTGGCACAACCATGGGAACGGCTATGCAAGCAGAGGTTACGCTATGACGAGTACAATCCAGAGGATCCAGAGACGTGCAGCTCAGATCATCACAGGGGCCTTTCGGACAACGGCCGGTGCAGCAGTGGACGTCGAATCTCATCTACTCCCGGTACAACAGCAACTTGAGCAAACTGCGTTGGAAGCCACAATGCGCATCAGAAGAACACCGCTACACGACGACATAGCCATGACTGAGACTGGGAGGGGGAGCCTAGAACGCCCGCCCAAGGACGCAGCGAACAGAACCCCCTCGACCGTTTCTCGAACACGTTAGAGAGTAAACACGGCGTGCGGCTCGAACGGCTGGAGAAACGCGTACCGCACATAGTGCCACCTTGGTGGATCCCACCAGTTGTCCACATCGACGAATCTGCGGAGGAAGCAGTCAAGAAATACCGATCCCAGAATCACTTCCGTTGATCCTGGGATGACCAGTGGTTGCCTCTAAGAACTTTACGTAGGGTTCTAGGAGCAATATAACTCCTAGGAGAGGTGGTCCGTGTCCCTAGAGACAAACTTTACACTCCTGGGAAGCTGGCCCGCGTATGCTAAGCGGGGGGAACCGTCTCTAGAGTTATGCTCTAGGAAAACTTCAACGTTTAGTTTTAATTATCGCTTCTAGTTATACTATCGGCTTCTGGGAGCTAAACTTCCTGGCTGGTAAAATTTTCTGCGAGTAGAATCCTTTACTCCCCGTAAGCCTACATCCACGATGCTTATAAGTGGGGTGAATACTAGTGACAAAAAGGTGGGAGGAGGCGCTGGATTGGGCTGCACTTTCCTAACCTAAGGCTAGTTATAGTGAGGGAAAAGTAGTAAAAAAATTAAAGAAATTTAGCATCTTTAATTAGCGTTTTATGATTAGCCTGATATTACTCCTTTCGGGTCTATGCTCGAGAAACACTGTACTATAGGCGGTGGTACCGTTCCCGGAAGTATATTATATAGAGATAAGTAAAAGAAAGTGTTGTCGAATTGATTATAACGTATCAATTAAAAGGTTGAGATAACTACGATAAAATTCTATTCCGGTAGCTCTAAATAATCGCGATAAATCTAGTACGCCTTAATAAAATAGTTATTAACCTAACTATAGCGCTAATTATAGCTAGATAGAGAATAAAGGAATAGCGTAGGGGTCTCTAAGATAGAAAAAGTAGAATCTAACGCTTAAGTTCGAAGACTATAAGCGTTAGAAGTATGCCGCCGTAAGTATATCTTATATAGGACGTGTGACGATCTGCAGAGTTTTCTGCTAGTTGACTCCGCTTATAGAGTTTTCTACTGATTGTTTCCGCCCTTGACCTAGGACCTACCCTATATTGTCTTTGGTCCTATTATTGATTTCTTTTTTCTTTCTTTTCTTTTCCTTCTCTATACTTATTATTCTAGTTAAAATATACTCTTTTAATTAAGAACTAGCTAGTAATATAATAATAAGTACTAATTAAATCTAATAAGTAGTACGACTATATAGATCTTTATTATAGTAGATCTCGGTCTAGCTTACCCTACTTTCCGTTTCTTAGTATTATATAGCTAAGCTATCCGAATTAAACCTTTATTTAATTAATTAGAATAATTAAGACCCGATAAAATCTTATAAACTATAATAAATAGCTAGTTACTACTATACTTAATAAAAAAGAGATTAATAATCGGATAATCGATATATTAATACTAAAAATCTTATATATTAAAAGACTAATAAATATTAATAAATATAATAAAGATAATAATAATATAAAAAAAGGATTATCTTCTATATATAAATAATTATAAAAGACTTTATTAAAAAAGAGATTCTAAGAACTTATTTATTAGTACTAATAATTAGAGTAAGAGAATTAAAAGTTAAAGAATAAGATTATAAAGTTTTTTAATAAAAGAATTAATATTAATAAATTTATAATTAAATATAATAAGATAATTACTTATTATAATTTTATAATCTATAAATATAAAAACTTAGCTTTTTATCTCTTTTCCGCTTAAAATCTAAATATAACTAATATTAGCATACTAATTATAAAGATTAATATTATCTAAAAAATAATTAAGATATTTAATATACTAATATTTAATAATAATAAAAAAATAAGATTTAAAATATAGGAAATAATAATCTAATAAAAACTTAAAACTAATATAGATTATTATCCTCTTCTTATATATTAGAAACTCTATATATAAAACTAATATAAAGATAAAATCTAGCTATATATTATTCTCTAAATAAATACTAATATTAGTATTTTTTATAAAGATATAAAAGATATTATTACTTATTTAAAGATTATTTTTATAAATCTAAATTAATATATTAAAGTATATATTATTTATTATTAATTAAAGATAAAGCTTAAAAATAATTTTATTAATTTTCTTATAGAGTTTATATAATTTATAAAAGAAGTTATTATTATAATTAAGAACTAAAAATAAGATCTATATTTTAAATTCTTATATTTATTTTAAATCTAGATTATATAAGTTATTAATTAAAAGATAATCTTATTTAATATATTTATATAAAATTATTAAAATATATTATATAAAATTAGCTTATAATAAAAAGCTAAATCGATAAATTCTTATTTTTATATAAATTTATTTTTAGAAAGTAATATAAATATTATTATAATTAATTTAAATTTTATTTTTTATATAAAATAAAAAGATAGTACTAATTTTATTAGTCTTTTTATATCTAAATAAAAGATCTTAATAAAAGAAGATTATTATTTTAATTATAAGAAGTAAGAATATATAACTTATAATTATCTAAAAAAGAAGTTAAATTAATCTATTATTATAATTACTATAATTATTATTATTCCTTAGATTTAGGAAATTATAGAATTTAAAGTAAGCGATAAAAAGAATCTAGAAAAAATCTTTATTTAGGATAAGTTTTCTTTTTAAATAAAAAGAAAGTATTATTATTTATATTAGACTTATAAAAATTAATTAATAGTCCTAAAAATAGCTTAATTTTTAATATATAATTTATATATAATAACTACTCTTTTTTTATCTTAATATTAAATAATACTAAAATAAATAGATATATCTTTATTAATATAATAATAATTATACTATTTAGTAAGCGATTTAAAATTAAGATATAAAAATTTAGCTATAAATATTTAGTATATAGATTTAATAATAAGCTAGCTAAACTAATATAATATACTACTATTTTTATAATTTATATAGATAATAAAGTATAATAATAAGTCCTAATATTAATTATAAATCTTAAATAATATAATATAATTCTTAAGTAGATATAATTTATTAAATATAATATTTTTCTAGATTATTAATAGTATTAAATAATTTAATTAAATTTAAAAAGTCTTTTTAATAAAATTATAAGTAAAATTACTATTTTCTTTTTAACTAAAATCTTAAAAGAATTATTAAAAATAGATTTTATTTATTAAACTAATATAAAATAATATAATTATCTTTTTAGATAATAAGATTAATAAGATTAATAATTATTTTTATAATTTTAATATATCTAAAAATATTAGTATAAATATTAATAGATTAAAAAAGAAATAAAAAATAATTCGAAATTTAGAGGATAAAATAAAAATTCTAAAGATCTAAATATTAATAAAAAAAAATAGTCTTTTATTAATATTAATATCTATATAATTAAAAGTATTAGATTTAATTAATTTTATATAAAAAATAAGATTAATAAAAAAACTAAAATCTTTATAATCTTTTTTTATAAGATTAATTATATTATCGATATTAAAAGTACTTAGATATAAGATTTTAAAATTAGTAAAATATTTTAAATCTTATTAAAAAAGTATTATAATCTTATAAAAAATTTTTTTAAAAAAAAGATTAGATAAATTATTATCTTATAAATCTAAAATTAATTATAATATTATATTTAAAGCTAAAATATAATCTAGATATTATTTCTTTTATAAACTATCTTTTTATAAATTAAAAAAGATAAAAGAATATATTATAAAAAATCTTAAAAAAGAATTTATTATTCTAAATTTAATATTATATATTTCTTTAATTTTAATAATAAAAAAATCTAAAAATAATCTTTATTTTTATATTAACTTTTAAAGATTAATTATTATTATAAAAAAAGATTACTATTTATTATTATTAATTAATAAAGTCTTATAATAAACTAATAAAATAAAATTTTTTATAAAACTTAATATTTAGTAAGATTTCTATTAAATTTATTTAATATTAAAAGTAGAAGAGCTTATTATTTTTTATATATAATATAAATTATTTAAATATAAGATTATATTATTTAAGTTAATAAATAGATCTATTATATTCTAATAATATATAAATAATATATTATAAGAATACTTAGATAAATATACTATAATCTTTATAAATAATATTTTAATCTATAATAAGACTTTTAAAGAGTATTAATAGTAAATAAGAAAAATATTTTAATATTTATAAAAAATAGATCTCTAAATAGTATTACTAAAGTATAAATTCTTAATATAAAAAATAAAGTTCTTTAGCTTTATTATAAATATAAATAATATTATAATTAATCTAAAAAAGATTAGTATTATTTAATTATAATAAGTACTAATAATTATAAAAAGAGTTTAGTTATTTTTAAGATTTTATAATTTTTACTAATAATTTATTTAAAGATATAATATTATTTTAAAATCTTTATATTAATTTATTTAATATAATATTTTTTATAAATAAATAAAATAATATAAAATAATTTTTATATTATTAAAAAGAAATTTAATAATTATACTAATTTTTTATTATTATAATCTAGCTTAATAAATAAAGATTAAGATTAATATTTTTAATAAAATATTTAAAGTAGTTTTTTCCTAATATTATAAAAATAATAACTTTTAGTATCTAATAGCTTTCTTTTTTAAAGAATATATAACTTATAAAATTAAATTATAAGATATAAAATAAAGAATTTTTAATAATTATATATATATTATAAGAATAGCGATTTAAATTTAAAGATTTAATATAAAAAGATTATTTTAAGATCTTAATAGATTATTAGTCTTTTAAATATTTTATAATAATAAGATAAATAAATTAATAATAAATAAGATAAAATAAGTTTTTATTTTAATTCTATTTTATAATTAAATATTATTTTAAAAAAAAGAATATTATAACTAATATCTTATTATAAAAAGACTTATTTTATACTAATAATAATAGATAAATAATACTTCTACTAAAAAGTTATTTAAAAAAAGATATTTA